AGGCACTCAATGGATATTTACTGAATGAAAGTTTCTTTAAATTCTATAGTTCTTTACAATTTTCACAAGGTTCACACACACTATTTCATATAATCCTATAATAAATATCCCCCATTGATTACAAATTTTTTTTAACAGTTTTCAGAATTCAGGATCCAAATAGAGTCCATTCAATATAATTGTTGCTACTTCTCAGATTTTTTAAAATAAACTTTTTGTTTTGAAATAATTTCAAACTTAAAATTACAAAAATAGTACCCACCCCTCAGATCCCTCAATTATTTTTCTTAATATTTGTATTCATTTATTTGGCTGCTACTAGGCCCAGCAGCAAACATGCCTCGGATGGTAAATAACTCGCCTGCACTGTGGGACACTCGGGTTGGGTCCCTGGGTTGGGAAGATCCCCTGGAGAAAGGAATGGCAACCCACTGCAGTATTCTTGCCTGGAGAGTCCCATGGACAGAGGAGCCTGGTGGGCTACAGTCCACAGGGTCAAAGAGTCGGGCATGACTGAGCATCTAACACTTTCACTTTCAGTCCCAGTGGCAGCACACAGGATCTTTGATCTTAGTTACGGCATGAAGGCTCCAGTTCCCTGACCAGGGATCACACCCGGGACCCCTGCATTGGAAGCACAGCATCCCAGCCACTGGACAATCAGGGAAGTCCCTCCCCAAATTGTTAATATACTACATTTACTTTATCACTCTCTAGAAGGAAATGGCAACCCACACCAATGTTCTTGCCTGGAAATTCCTATGGACAGAGAAGCCTGGTGGGCAATATAATCCATAGGGTCACAGAATTGGACATGACTGAAGCAGTTAAAGAGGATAGTGAAAAAGTTGGCTTAAAGCTCAACATTCAGAAAACTAAGATCATGGCATCTGGTCCCATCATTTCATGGGAAATAGATGGGGAAACAGTGGAAACAGTGGCTGACTTTATTTTTGGGGGCTCCAAAGTCACTGCAGATGGTCATTGCAGTCATGAAATTAAAAGACGCTTGCTCCTTGGAAGGAAAAGTTATGACCAACCTAGATAGCATGTTAAAAAGCAGAGACATTACTTTGCCATCAAAGGTCCGTCTAGTCAAGGCTATGGTTTTTCCAGTGGTCATGTATGGATGTTAGAGTTGGACTATAAAGCAAGCTGAGTCCCGAAGAATTGATGGTTTTGACCTGTGGTGTTGGAGAAGACTCTTGAGAGTCCCTTGGACTGCAAGGAGATCCAACCAGTCCATCCTAAAGGAGATCAGCCCTGGGTGCTCATTGGAAGGACTGATGTTGAAGCTGAAACTCCAATACTTTGGCCACCTGATGTGAAGAACTGACTCATTGGAAAAGACCCTGATGCTGGGAAAGATTGAAGGCAGGAGGAGAAGGGAACGACAGAGAATGAGATGGTTGGGTGGCATCACCAACTCGATGAACATGGGTTTGGGTGGACTCCGGGAGTTGGTGATGGACAGGGAGGCCTGGCGTGCTGCGATTCATGGGGTTGCAAAGAGTCGGACACAAGTGAGCAACTGAACTGAGCTGAAGCAACTTAGCATGACAATCTATTTGTATTTTTTTTTTAACTCTTTAAGAACAAGTATCAGACACGATGCCTGTGATCACATAATACATCAGCGTGCATTCCTTAAACCAGAACATTCTCTGACATATGCCCAGTGTAAACACTGAGACAGTGCTACCATCCAACCCGTGGACCACCTTTGTATTTTGCCAGTCATTCCAATCATGTCCTTTCAGGGAAGAAGATCCACTCCAGGACCATAGATTGCATTTGGTTGTCCTGTCTTGTCACTTTAGTTTCAGTCTGGAACAGTTTTCCATTTTTCCTTGTCTTTCGTGGCCTGAGTGTTTTTGATAAATTCAGGCCAGTTACTTTGTAGAGTATGCCTCAGTATAGGGTTGCTTGGAATTCCCTTATGTTTAGATGCAGGTCCTGCATTTGTGGCAGGAACACCATAGGATGCATACTGTGTCCTTCACAGTGCTCCATACCAGGAGGCACACGATGGTTTTTTTTTGGTTTGTTTCTGGCATGTGGGATCTTAGTTCCTCAACAAGGAATCAAACCCAGACCCCCTGCATGGGAAGCTCAGAATCTTAACCATTGGGCCACCAGGGAAGTCCCAGGAGGCACAGCATCTTGATTTGTCCTGCTACTAACAAACGTGGCTTCCATCTTTTCGTTAAGATGGTGTTTGCCAGGTTTTTCCAACTGTAAAGCTACTTTTATAATATTAATTAATGACTAATTAGAAAATATTTTGGGGATATACACCTTGAGGCTCTGTAAAACTGTCCCTCACCCAGTCTTCCCCACTGGTGTTTAATACCCTTTGGCAATTCTTGCTTGAATCAGTTATAACTTTGATGGTTGCTGTTTAAAAAGAGCTATTACCTATTCACTTATTTATGTCAGAGTGAGCTCATGGATTTCTAGCTTATCCAGTGGGTTAATATCTATCATTATCATTTATTTTGATGCTGAAGTTGTCCTGGCTTTGGGTAAAAGGAATCTTTTTATCTTACCTATTTTTTATTTATTTACTTTTAAAAATATGTATTTATTTATTTGGCTGCGTTGGGTCTTAGTTACAGCACCTGGGATCTTTATTGCTTTGTGGGGGGTCTTTCCTAGTGGCATGCGGACTCTCTAGCTGTGGCACGTGGGCCCAATAGTTGTGGCACCCAGGCTTAGTTGCTCTGAGACACGTGGGATCTTAGTTTCCTGACCAGGCATGGAACCCATGTCCCATGCATTGTACGGTGGATTCTTCACCACTGGACCACCAGAGACGTCCCAGCTTTTGTCTTTGTATATGTCTGGGTTGAAACTTGCTGCCTGTCCTTTTTTTTTTCCTTGCCCGTGGACATATTTTGTGAAAATCCCCCAGAAAGCATAGTCCAAGGCAAGAAAGAGTAAAGAGTGAACACTGAGAGGTGCAATCATGGGGCCGTGAGGCGGAATCGGGCAGTGGAAGGGCAGAGGCGATGATGCAGTGCGCTTCCTTTGCTGGATGTCGCTTCACCTTGAGCGACAGACACAGTGGGCCTGGTGCACGGACTCCTCCAGAGTATATGTGAGGAGAAAACGTGCTGCCAAGCAGTCGGCAGAGGCACAAGGGGAGGGAGGTTGTATCTGCCCCGTTCGCCCCCATTTCCTGATTCCCGTTGTCATTTTACGAAAGTCCATAAGCAGAGGGACAGCTGGACGAGGAGGAAGCGCTGACCCAGAGACAGAGGGGGAGGCAGTCAGGGAAACTGGAGAAAATGCACAAGGTTTGTGTCCAGGATGCTCCTCACCTTGCACTACTCTGGTCCAGTCGTGTCTCCATCGGTGTGAGCCTTCCCGCTTCGATGGAGGGTCCACCATCCTCCAAAGACACTGCGACCCGTTCCCCGGGAGGGGACATAGCAAGTCCAGTCAGTGACAGGGTCCTCGTCCCGGTGGCCTGCTGGGGTCACCTGGGAGACTGATGCAAGAAGGCTGTGGAGCAGGCTCCTCTGGTGCTGCTGTGGCCGGTCCCGAGGCTGTTGTCGGTGGTCATCTCCCTCCCCCGCCGTCCATTCTGGGTCCTCTGCACCCTCCACCAGCACCCAGCGGATTTCAGCTGCGCAGGGGGTTGCGTGCTTCTCAGCCCAGTGTCATTCAAGGTCAACCACACATCATCCTCTCTAAGGAACGTAACCAAAGCAGGAGAGAATCAGAAGCGGCAGCAGCTATTCCAGTGAAAGATGAACGTCTCATTGTCATTTGACTCGAACTCGTAGAAGAGTCGAGAAAGCAACAGGCGGTGAACAGCCAAGGAAAGTGAGTGAGCGCTGAAGAGCAGCGGAATGGCCACAGGGACTCCGGGCTGACCGGTTGCTCTTCCTTTTCCACACCACCTCTGTGGACAGAGCTTTGGTTTGTCGTGGGGAGGAGGACTGGTGTCTGAATTTCCAGTGAGTGTCTGAAGGAGTGAGTCAAGTAGATCCAGTCATGGTCGTCGGATCTGTTTTCAGACATTGGTCACAGTTGGAAGTGGCCCAGGCTTTAGTTACCTCTGCTTCTCCTTTTTTTTTAGCTTTTTATTTTATATTGGAGGGTAGCCAATTAACGATGCTGTGATAGTTCAGGTGGACCGCAAAGGGACTCAGTCATACATATACATGTTCCCCTTCCTTTGGTACTGTTAGCTCTGTGATCTTGTAACCAGCACAGAGTCAGCCCCTTGTCGCCGGGGGTACTGGGTCAGCCCAGTCATCGCCCTCATCTCCTGGGGCTAGAAGAGAACGGTGGTTTCCTTGCTGTTCAGATCTCAGTTCCCAGGTCATTCTTGGCAAGGGGTGGGGGCCTCCAAGTCCACCCCCTGGGGTTCTGGGTCTCTAATCGCAGTTTTAGCAGTGGGTTCCCGCCCTGCTCCAACTCTGTGGTTCTGAGACTCGGTGGAAAGAGCCTGGGGTGGAGTCAGAAGTCTATGCTTCCTGGCAGGGTCCTGGTCGTCTCCCCTCTCCATTTCCTGGTGTCTGCAAGGGCTCAGAGCCCAGCCAGCATGCCCTGCATGTGGCCCTGCTGTGGGCCCTCCTCACTTGGCCCCTGTCCCCACTGAGAGCCCCCCCAACCCCTGCAAGGCCGAGCCTCTACCAGTCCTGAGAGCCCTTATCTCCTAGCACTGACGTCAGGGCCTCTGCCAGCTCCAAGGGTCTGAGCTTCCAGGGATGGTCCTTAAGGTTTCTCTTTCAGTCTAGAACAGCGGTCCCCAACCTCTTTGGCACCAGGGACCAGTTTCGTGGAAGACAGCTTTTCCACAGACCTGGAGGTGGGGGATGTTTTTGGAATGATTCAAGTGCATTACATTTATGTGCACTTTATTGGCATTATTATTACATCCCCTCCACCTCGGATCATCAGGCATTAGATCCCGGAGGTTGGGGACCCTTGGTCTAGAACCATGGAGTCTGGGAGCCTCACCCCATCCCTCCTCTTACATCCCACAGAAATCAGGGGGAAATGGCCCACACCTGCCGTGGCACCATCAACCTGTTCACCGCGCACTTCGACACGGAGGACTCTTGCGGTATCGTGCTGACCAGTGGGGGCAGGACCTACCACCTCAAGGCCGGCTCAGAGGTGGAGCGGCAGCAGTGGATCACCGCCCTGGAGCTGGCCAAGGCCAAGGCTGTCCGCATGATGAGCAACCAGTCAGGTAGCCAGCGCTCGGCGCGGCGGGAGTGCGTGCAGTGTTGCGGGTCTGAGAGCGTTTGGGGGGCAGTGGTGACCGGCAGACCCACCTCGCCCTGCCAGCTCAGCTCCCAGCATCGTCAGCAGCCGGACGTTAGGTGGCAGGGGCGGCCCGCAGTTTTCAGGGTGGGGATGTTCGCGGTGGGCGGGGCTCGGTGGGCCTGGTCCCTGGGCTTTGGCAGAACCCTCGGATGCTGCGCTGGGTCAGCTCCAGAGGCAGAAGGCAGGGCGGGAGACCAGGATGGTGGATGTGTGCCTCAGGCCAGACTTGCTCTGAGGTCCGCTTCGGAGACTGAAAACCATTTAGCCAGAGCTGCTGCCTTCGCCAAGGTGGAAGGTCGGCTCAGAAGTCCTAAGCAAGACATTTTATTTTTTACTTTCATGCATTTATTTTTTTTTTAACATGTAACGTCTTTATAAGATTCATAAACCAACGGTTTCAAAGGTGCATGCCGTGAAGTCTGCCCTTGGCTCTTCTGCCAGGCTGCCCACCCTGTTCTCCCACGCAGGGGCCACTGAGCTTCCGGGATCTTATGTCTTTACATGTGTGTATTCAAATAAGTACTTTTTTTTTTTTTTTTTTTTGGCCACACTGTGCAACCTGGGGGATCTTAATTCTCTGAGTAGAGATTGAACCTGCACCTCCTGCATTGGAAGGCAGTCTTAACCACTGGACTACAGGGGAAGTCCTGCAAATAAGTACTTATTTTAAAAAAGTGCAGTCCCCACTTTGCTGTTTTTCTCTATTCAGCGACAGTAGATCTTGGAATCTTTTCCCGTGAGTACATAGAAAAAGCTTCCTGCTTGTTTTTACAGCAGTGCGGTCTCCCTGCGCTGGGGTCTCCCCAGCACTCGCCTCAGTGCATGTGGAAGGTCACGGACTATTAGTCCGACCTTCTGTTTTAGTCTCCACTAGTTGGAACGTGGGACCTCCCCGCCCCCATGATGACCCTCCCTTGGAGTCCACACTCTGGTGTGTGAGTGTGTCAGCGGTGATGCTGAACTTGGCAAGGGGATCCCCCATCAGCCGACTGTGTGCACCTCCCAGCATCCTTCCAGCTCAAAGATTTCTAAGCCAAAGGGGTCCAGTCCGCCTGGGTTCAAACCGTGCCTCCCTTCGTGGCTGTGTGACCTTGGTCAAGGTGCTGCTTTCCGTCACCTCATTCTCTCCTCTGTGAAGTGGGCTTAATCACAGAACCACCCCTTGGAGGTGCGGTGACAGTGGGTGAAATGAACCTGGCACCTGGCTTGGCAAATGCTCAAGGGAAGTCAACTGTAGTTACTGATAATAGTCACCTTGGCGGCTTTAAAATAACACAGATTCCCAGGTCACTGGGCAGTGGTAAATCTGAATGAATGAGAGCAGTGTTGGGAATGGGTTGGGCGGAGGGCACCTGCATTAAAAAAAAAATCTCCCTGGATAAGATTGGCAGATTTTCGTAAATACAAATACAGGCCACCGAAATAATGTTTTAGTGTAAATGTGTCCCATGCAATGGTTGGTTGGGATATACTTATATTGGAGTTTGTTTATTGTTATTCAGATGTAAAGTGTCTTTCACCTTTCATCTGCCTGCATTTAGCTGCATCTTGGGGGGACCTGACGCTCAGCCCACCTGGGAGCTTCTCAGTCAGAAACCAGAGCGTGTCCTTTCACTTGACACAGGAGGGCGCTAGAAGACAGTTCATTAGCTTTCCTTGTCCCTGAATCAGTGCCTGAATTAGTTCCAGAAGCGCCAGCCTGTTGGCTGGCTTGCCACCTACCTTTCAGGACTTGTGAATCATTTTCAGATCTTCAGGCCTGCCCTCCCAGCGGGCGCCCCAGGAGGCTGAGAGCAGTGACGCCACCGCCGGACACCTCTCTCTCATCTTGCTCCCACCACGGGGCGGGGGGTGGCTAATCCGGCCCCTTGGGGGTTCCCTCTCCTGCCCTGCTCCCCAAGGCTGACCTGCCCCCACATTGATGTCATAGCCCTATTCTGATATCACAGCCCAGCACTTGGAATTACCTCGGGCAGCCCAGATTCTGCCCTTAGAGCAACCAAGGTGGGCGTTTGAGCGGGAGCTGCAGGGGCTGGCTGGTGGCCCGGGGGGCTGAGCCTAAAGAACATCTGGGCAGCCTTCCGTCCTAGAGCTTCAAGATGAAAATCCTGTAAAGGTAGGACCTGAAAAAAATAAAAATAAAAAAAGCAGGTAGGACCTGGAAGGCTTTCCTGCTGTCCCTGTTGGCTGTGATCCCTCGAAGTGAAAATAAATCCCTGGGGAGTGGGGAGGGGGCTGTTCAGGCTCTGGAAAGAGCCCCTGGAAAGCCTGCTGCCTTTGTGCCTCGGCTCACACGCGGCCTGGAGAGATGGTGGTCTCGCCTTGGTCCCCTGGGCACTCTTCCCATTAGGAGGAGGAGTGGCTTCCTGAAATGTGGGGTTTCTGACTTGTTGGGTGGGTGGGAGGAGCTCGGAGAATGCCTGCAAGTATGGAGCCATGGCTTCAACAGTGCCCATCCTCCGGAGGCTTAGCGGGGACGGGGTGCGCTCGTCTCAGGACAAACGGAAAACACGGCCACATGCAAGCTGTTCACCCTCAGATTCCTTGGTCCCGAGAAGGAGAAGCCTCATCCACTGAGGTGGTCAGAAGGTTTAATGAAGTCTTTCACGAGCTCATTAAGGTAGTAAAATATTGACTGGCATGGATTAAACAACAGCAACAACACACACACACACAAACACACACGCACACACCCTGAAAAACTTCTCTGTAACTTAGGTGGGCGCAAAGGCCACTGGGGCGAACACGTTACAGTTCTTAGCGGAGGACCACCGAGATTCTAATGAGCTGATAAGGTGGTGCCCAGGAACTCCCATTTTAAATGTATATTTTTCTGTTTTTTAAAAATATTTTTGTATTTATCTTGACTGCTCCAGGCCTTAGTTTTGGTGCCCAGGGTTTTCAAGCTTTGTTGGGGGCATATGGGGTCTTTAGTTTCAACATGAGAACTCTTCTTTTTTTTTTTTTTTTTCTAAATTTTTGGTTGCCCTGAGTCTTCATTTTCATTGCCGCGCACGGGCTCCTCATTGCAATGGCTTCCCAGGTGGTGCTAGTGGTAAAAGGCCCGCCTGCCAAAGCAGGAGATGTAAGAGACTCAGGTTCGATCCCTGAGTCAGGACCCCGTTTAGGAGGAAATGGCAACCCACTCCAGTATTGTTGCCTGGAAAATCCCATGGACAAAGGAGCCTGATGGGCTATAATCTACAGGATCGATAAGAGTCGGACACGACTGAAGCGACTTAGCACTCTCGGGGAGCACAGGCTCCAGTCGCAAGGGCTTCAGCAGCTGTGACACATGGAGTCACTGTCGCATGCGGCTCACGGGCTCTAGAGCACGGGCTCCGCGGTTACGCCACATGTAGAATCTTCCTGGACTGGGAATTGAACCCTGCATTGGCAGGTGGATTCTTATCCACTGTACTGTTGGGGACGTCTGCAGTGTATGAACTCTTAGTTGTGGCATGTGGGATCTAGTTCCCCAACCAGGGAATTGAACCGGGGCCCCCTGCACTGGGAATTTGAAGTCTTAACCTCTGGACCATCAGAGAAGCCCCAGAAACCCCTATTTTTAATATACATTCCAGGTAGTGCTCCTGTCAGCCCCCCATGGATCTCCTTTTGAGAAACACGGTCCACTCAGACTTCCTGGATGGCTTGCTGCAGCCATCTTGCTTCCCCCATTTCCAAATCGCACGTTTTCTGTGGAATGAGGGTTGAATTCTGTTTTACCACCATGTGTTTTTTTTTTTAATGAACGGGATCCAGAGAGACGACAGGGGTGCTATGGGGAGTCTGCCCGGTGCACTTGGATCTGTATCCTTGGCTGCTGTCTTCCAGATGTAGGTGCAGCCTTCTCTCCACCTGAGAAGAGGGACTGTGTCTGTACCGGGAATGCTGCACCCTTCGCCATGAAGACTCTCGGCCCCCCACCTGGACTGAGAGAGTGGGACTATGGGTGTGAACTGTTGGTCACTGAAGCTGACAGCAGCAAAAAAGGCGTTGCTGACCAGAGGGTTTGGCTTCCGTTTCTCTGGTGACCCCAGGATGAACTTTCAGTGGTACCATGGGCAGGGCGGTGGGCAGCTGTTGCTCACCAATAGGTCAGCAGCTCGAGGTGGGAATTCTCTGCTTGCTTTGACTGTGGATCCGGGGCCCCCAGAATGCCACATGGCCCTCTGTACAGATAAACAGATCTGTGCCTAGTTTGGGGAGGGTGAAGTCTGTTTCTGGTTTCTAGCCCTTTGGATTAGGCGGTGTCCAGCGTATTCAGGCCTCGAAGCCCCTTGTGGTCTCAGCACTTCCCTCCAAGCTTCCAGCCCAGGTGAGAGGCAGGCCATGTCCTGGCCTGTAGTCCTTGGCTCACAGGTTGCAGGACAGAGGGGCTGAGCTCACCCAAACCCTCTGAAACGTGGATGAGTCAGACTCTCTCTCCCTCAAACTCTTCTCTGCCCTGACTCACATCTGGGCCACTTCATCCAGTAAGACCAAGGGGGCAGTTAAGATTTCCCCTCAGCGATGCTAGGACAGGAAGCCGAGCTCACTCCACTCCACTTCACGGGCCCACCCCTGGTGTCTGGGGAGAGAAAAATCTGTGCCCAGTTTGAGAAATGAGGCCCTGGGGGGGGGGGTGTCAACATCGAGGACCAGCCTCCTCATCCTGAGGGCTCGTTGCAGGCGGACCAGTCGCTCTTACGTTGTAGCTGTGGAGTCGTTGCTCAGTAAACATCTCAGCTGAAAGAGGCATAAAAGCCGCAGGAGGGTGCAGCTGGACTCAAGGATGCTGCAGAACCCAGGCACTGGGACTTCTCAGAAATCTTGCTGTTGTTATGGAAAACTTAGGACAAAACAGAAGCAGACAGAAGTCTCAGGAACCGGCCCATACTCGTCACCAGTTATCAGCTCAATCTTGATCCTGTGCCTCTG